TATGACATCGCAGCCAACAGCACGAGCTACTTGAGCGACATAGCCTCACCCCTTGTTGGGTTGCAGGTTATCTGGCAAACCTCCCAGTAAGACCCAATCACGACTCCATGGCAAGCAATTGTCTGAGATTCTCTCCCAGAAGATCTTCCACCAATCCCAAATTCTAAGTGAAGCCGGACAGTCGTACCACAGATAGGTGGTTGACTCAAAGGCCCAGCTGCACCTCTTGCAAGTCATGTGGAGCTGAAGCCCTCGCTGTGCCAAGTTGACTGCTGATGGAGTAACCAACATGGACAGCAACCAGAGATTTACTGCTAATCTCGGGTTAGGGGCTGAGGACAATTGATTCCAATAGCGAGATAAAGCTTTCTCAATGTCATGATGACTCTCATCCACCATCTGGCTCCATCTCCGCACTGCTACCTCCATAGGCTTACGAGATGGACATTGGGAGGCATAACCCAATTCCACTGAATACAGATGAAGTGGTAGGTCCTTCCCCCCTTTACCCTCCCCTTTCCAACCCCACATCTTAGCGTTCACTTTCAGTTCCTGGATAGTTGTCCCTCCTGCAAAGACCCAGCAATCCCAATTCCCTTCCTCATCGCACGTTTTCCAAACTCGTATCTGAGTCAGGGGAAGCCCCAACGGTGGATGGGAATGATCGTTAATTTGAACCGAGGCTGTTGGTTTTTCCGAATCAATTCCTTCCCATTGTTGAAAATCTATTTTTCCGTTTGACTCAATCCTCGTCAGTTTCCAAAACGAAGGGTCAAAGGCGATACTGGGGAAGACATACTAGGTATCAGGGGGGTTTATCCCCTCTGGGCTCAAGATCCTTCTCCATTGCAAGGGGATCGCCTGGATTAGCTCAGTAAGTTTTTCCTCCACATACAAGACCGAACCCAGGTGCCCCCTCATAGCAAGAGGGGTTTTCCATTGGCCCTCTACCTGATTCCAAACATCACCAATTCTCAGGACCCCTTTTTCGATCCAAACTCTCCCAAAGCTGTTGCGTGATGAATCAGCAGCAAACCACTTATCATCTTGTCTCCGAACATGCGGATTTTCAAAGAGGGGCTGGAGTATAACCTCAGTTTTTGTTGTCGGATTAGCCCACGAGTTTGGTTTCAAACGTTTTCAGGCCAGCATAACTGCTTTCCAAAATTTGGATTCAATCCGACGGCTTTGATATGAGTGCAGGGGAAAGCAAGTCCACACATCAGGGGGATGAGACAAGTTTCATTCATTTGCCAAAATAATTTCTGCCAAAGAAATCCAGTAGGCCTCTTCAGTTGAACAAATGTCTTTAATTGCCCATCTTACCAGCATTGTCGCCCCTTTGCGTTGAGGATCAATTAAGCCCAACCCTCCTTCCTCTTTAGGAAAACACAGCAAGTCCCAACCCACCTTGGACATGAAACCTTGCTCATCTGTAGCATGTGGTTTCCATATGAACTTAGCAGCCCTTCGGCGAAGGAGAAAGCATAAGTGTCTGCCTAAGGGTCTGACCGCTGCTACAAACCAAAGCAGGGAGAACAGCGCGCTGTTAATTACCAGAACTCTGCCAAAACCTGAGAGATGGTGGGCTCTGCCCCACGTAGCTGCCCTTTGCAGCGAGCATTGTAGCAGGATCCCCTCATGATCTACACTGCATGACAATAGAGATACTTGAACCCCCAGAAACCTTTCCGATTGATCAGACTCAATACGCTTCATTCCCCAATTCACCACATGAGTATAGGTTCCTGGAAGGAAAAAGACTGCTTTGGCCCAATTGACTGATGTCTCCGATAGCTCTTAGTATTCGTCCAAGCAATCTTTCAAGGCAGACATCGACCTATATGAATTTTCAGAGATAGCAAAGATGTTGTCTGCCAAAGCTTTAACTTTGCATTGGGAGATACCTGTTTCGAGACCTATGATGTCCGGGTTTGAACGCACGTTACACAATAGGTTCTCCATCTGAATCACAAACAGGAGAGGTGTCAAAGGGCAACCCTGTCTGAGAGATCTCGTTAGCAAAAACAAAGTGGAACGATACCCATTAACCATTACAGAGCCTGTAGATAACGAGTATAGGGCCAAAACCCAATTACACAGATTTACACCAAAACCTACGTGGCGCAATGTAGTCAAGACATACGTCCAATTTACGCGGTTTTATGCCTTTTCTAGATCGAGCATTTGAATTGAGAGGTTAGCCTGCGTGTTCTCAACCACTTCTAAAGCCTCGATGGTCGTGACAATGTTTTCGAAAATAGATCGGCCCTGAACAAAAGCAGCTTGATCCCTCTCGATTAAGGTCGGGAGGTGTCTACCTAGACGTTTAGCTAAAATTTTTGCTAAAAGTTTGTAGGAAACATTCAGCACAGAGATAGGGCGTCAGTTTCTTATTTCGGATTTGTCGCATTTCTTGTACAGTAATGATATAATCTCATTCCTCATGCCTACTGATAAGTTACCTCCCACTGAGACCTGATTATAAATTTTTACAAGCTCCTCTTTGATCACCTCTCAGATAACCAGATAAAGTTCTACTGGTAAGCCATCATCCACTGGGCCTTTGCCCCTCACCATTCAGTTCAATGCTTCCCATGCTTCTTCAGTAGTTACCGGACGGTCCATATCCAACCTACCTTCGGTAGACAATCTTTTCCCGAAGTGGAACCAATGGTCTGAATTTTTCGATAGGTCTGTGGTTAGATCTTCGAGTGGTCTCTTGGATGTTAAAATATCTTGATAGTACATGGCAGCATACTCACATAACTGCGTACGTTCCCTTACAATCGGAAGATCGTGGTCAAAGGGGTGCATGAGTTCACCCATTGAGTGTGTCAGTTTTTTGGGCGTCAACTTCTGAAACGTCTCACGTGTCATACGATCATAAACGATTATCCCTTTAACTTTTAATCTCTCCGACCACAAATCTGATTCCTCCTGTTGTAAGGCGTCCCATTCGGCCAGTAGTTTCTCCCTAATTGGGCTCCAAACCAGGTTAGAGATAGGGTGAAGGCTCGTGCGATCTTCTGCATACTTAAGCTTCGTCACTATCTCTTCCTCCTAATTCTTCCTGTTGGCTGCAAAAATACGAGAGAAAATACTTGAATGTTTTTAAAAAACACGGGACCCTGCTTCCCACCAGGCCTCCTTCGATTCAAATTTCTCGGCATTCAATTTCCACCCTGCCCAAAAACGTTTCATCCAGTCTACCATCCCCGGGTCCTGCAAAATCCGAGTGTTAACTCTATAGTACCCAATGCCCCTTTCTAACTTAGTCAAATTAAAAGCCGCCACCACCGGTTTATGATATGAGATCGGATTATCCACCTCTTCGATAGACATGGTAACCTGCCATGCTTTCAGTGAAAGCAGAAAAAAATCCAATTTTTTGCGGATGGTGCCTTTTCCCTCCCTGATGTTAGAGCACCAAGTAAATCCTGGGTTACCGGGGTGTAGAAGCACATACGGCTCCGTCAGTTCTAGATCTGACATGAGATCCGACAGTACTTTGACATCCCGATTACCCCGAACTCCCTCAGGGTTATCCAAGGAAGTATTCCAGTCCCCGAAAATAATTAGATTATCACAGTCGGGGACAAACAAAGGAATATCTTCAAAAAAATTAGCATTTTGCGCACAATCTGTTGGAGCATAAATGGAAGCTACAACCCACTCTTGACCCTCGATTCCTAGTTTAACCCAAGACCATTTTCCCCACAGATCCGCACATAAATCAATAATTACAGCATTTAAGTTCTTGTGGACAAGGATTGTTACACCACCTTTTGAACCTCTGGCGGGAGACCACAGTTGTGGACCATCCCGCGAGGAGCCTAGTTCCAAAATCTTTAGTTCAGATAACTTACTTTCCTGCAAACAGAGGATGTCAACTTTCTTCTCGTGCATCCAACTTCTCATACGAGCTTTCTTATTCCTACCGCTAGAATCCCCCAGCCCACGCACATTCCAGGTGGCTACCCTAAGTCTGACCATTCAGAGCATCTGTTCCAGAGTGTTGGATCTATGAGGTACCCTCCGCAAATGGGGTTGACGTCGACCATGCTTTTGTCAGTACTCGTTTCAGGAAAGGAGAGTCAAGCTTTATTTCCTTACCTAGCTTGGAGTTCAGATCGCTCAAGCATACTGCGGTCACAAATGATGCCAATTTAACTCGCCTCAGGTCAGGCTTCCAACCCTCCAACAACCAGACCAACGGGATTAATCTGAAGCCTTCGTTCTCCAACTGATCCAGGAGAGGTGGAGCGATGCGTGCATCGAAGAGTGGGGTATAAAGACGAACTCTTTTCCCTTCGAGTTCGATTAGGAAACGAGGCATAGCAATTTCAATTAGTCTGAAAGAAATTTTGTTCTAAAATATTGATCTAGCCAGGGTTTTTGTTGCAAGTGGCATCGGAGACTCTGGGCAGGGAGCGTTAAGCAACAAAGGTGAACCATCCAAACCTGCCCACGCCACTACCCAGTACGAGTTCCTAGCGGCAATTAACATCAGAGGCAATAACCTTGACTCAACCGCTGATTGGCCTTTTGACAAAGCGCCCATCCGAGGTCGCAACGGTTTGCGCTTACCTGTTGCAGAAGATCGTACTTGTGAGCCCCCAGAGCTGCCCGAGGCTTTTCCTCGTAGCTCGTCTACTTGAATATCAACACCTGTATCGCTCAACCTTCGTTGCTTCACTGGAGATTCGCCTTGTTGACAAAGACGGCTCTGGCCTGAAGTTATAGACCCGGACAAAGTCGGGCTAGCTTGATGTCTCTCTTGAGGATGTATGGTCGGTGTTGTGCCGTTCTGAAACATTCCTCCCTGAGGATTACTCTGAGACCAGCCCATCATACCTTGGTTCCACGACATAAAAGCGTACAAGTTTGCAATCAAGGGGCTCGTGCCTAGCTGCATATTCGACCACGGCATTCCATATGACGCCGATGTGAATGGATGGGAAGGTAGGTTTTGCAGAAAGGTCGCCCACGAAGCATCCAGAGACGGGAACGCTTGATTACACACCATGAATCATTCCTGCACCCATATGGGACAAAACTTGATTAGCACCCGGTGAGAAAGTCGGGCTGCCCCTTCAGGAAGGTTGAAGCCCGCCGCCGTATGTTGGACCCCCAAGGGGGGTTGACTTGTCGAAATACCTGGAGCGCTAAGGGTGCCGACGTACCCCGCTTGTGGTTCCGCTGCCCGAGGTGTTGACGAAGCTTGCAGTTGACTTGAACGGGCCCCTCCTTGGTTTCAACGATCCGTCCTTCCGCAAGTGAGTTCCGTGTGGAAGAACGTGAGGCATCTTTTACACCATGCTGAGTCAGCATTCGCAAGTTTAACTTCCAGCACATCCCCTTGGCATGTTTGAACAAAGATTTTATCTTTCATGTTCTCCCTACTCGCCGGTTCGATATCAAACCTTAAGTTCACCAACTTCGGGTCCGATTCATCTGCTTCCGGTTTATGTTGCATCAACACTTTCCCAATGGCCTTCTCCACATGTACGTGGAGAAAGGGCATTCCATCCAGAGGCACGCCTACAGCCACCACCCAGAAGGTGCCTTGATCAATCAATTGCCTCCAATCCTCAATCTCCGCTCTCGTCAACCAGGGTTTGAACTCTGTTCTGTATGTTGTGCCAGCCAGATCGATGTAGTCCGTTTTCTTGTTCAACATCCAACCGGAGATGGCTTGAGCCCTTGGGACGTATGATACCACGTTCGGACTTTCTGCCTTAATCCTTTCGCGCTTGAATTCTTGCCCGAAGGTCTCGTCCCACATCCACACGTCTTCATATGCTCTCACAACGTCCTCCTTGACCTTCTTTGGGAGAAAATGGGCGTCGTCCCGGAAAATGACGGTGACCGTCCTCTCCTTCAACCACTTAATATTGATCTCATCCAGCGTGGTATTCAAAATAAACTTGACTTCCCTGCCTGTCACTTCTATCTCCCCTGGATCGATATCTGTTGGTAAAATGCCCTCCTCATAGCACACCCTTATCATCTCCCTTGCTCTTTCCTCCTCCAGGCGATAGTCACCCGGGACTTGGGCTCTGCCATCTCGTTCCCCTTGCATCGCCGGTTCGGGTTCCATCTAAACTTCTACTCCTAAGCTTATCACCAACCTTCTACAACGAAGGAACAAATTCAACTAAGTCCTCCATAGTTATGATTGCCAAGGAAGGGCGGGGTGGTGGCAGCATACTCTAACCGTTGATAACATCCCCAGAGGCACTTGCCAAAGGGCTTCGTCCACACGAAAGCGCGGAGCTACCACCTACGCTGACGGTTCCATGCCGGAATTGTCCATCGCCGGTTAGGCCTGCCGAAAGGCAGGCGGCGTTTGGCCCGAACGCTACCGCGACGGTCAAACCGCCTTTGGGCCGCCACCCAAAATTGTTGTTTGCTGGCCCGATATTGGCCAAGCGCCTTAGCTTTCTGTTCCATTCTTGTGTATTGTGTATTAAAGGCAACGGTCCGCGACCGATGTATGGGCCAAGTACTGGTGGTTTAATTGCCTTACCTTCTTCCGCCTTTTTTAATGGAATGAATGAGAGAACCAATACCCATGGTTATTGTAGCCATCTCTGTCATTTCTGCATAAGGGGGACATCGGGCTTGGTGGCGGTTCAACGGTATGGTTGGGACGTGACCGGACCTGGCGTACCACTGTATTGGTGGAGTGCATGACGTCATGGGATCATTTGAACACACACGCACACACTGTCAAAACAAAAAATAAACAGATGTGTCTTCCCGCGGAGAAGGGCAAGATGCATCCCTTACTATGAATAGCAATGAATGCATCTTACCACTCTGTGTGGCAGATGCATTTTTCCTCTTCTCGATTCTACAGTCGCGTGGTGCGGCCATTCGTGAATAGTGGAGCGAGGCCCAGAGAATCACGACTTTGGCAATCACCGAAGTTGCATGTCAGAGCATCTGCACCTTGGCCTTTTGGGAAACGTTTTTCCCATCTCTCAAACTTCTTCGGCACGCTTCCCCGTTTTGGGAAATTCCTTTACGCCGTGTCTGACACCCTGACACAAAAAACAAAAGACAAGCGTCGGAGGCCCACCCTCACCACTGTCAAAACCAAAAGATGGATCTGCTGCAAAAAGTGGTAAGATGCATTTGTTGCTACCATAGTAACGGATGCATCTTGCCCTTCTCTGAGGGAAGATGCATTCCTTCATTTTTTGTTTCGACAGTGGTGTGGCGAGGCCCTTAGTCCAGATGCTGCGAATCACGGAAAATTTGTTCGATAGTGGGAAGATCTACAATGCCAAAGCAAGATAAAACAAACGAAGAGCAAATAAAGCACACACACGTCGACAACACAACACGCCAAAAAGCCGACGTGCCAAAAAAATTAGGAATTCGGGTTTCCGACAAGACCACCCGCAAGGATAAAAAAGATCGTATGGCTAAAACATGAAAGAAAACAATCGGATTGACCCGCAGCGTCATGACCAGGGCGACTAAGCTTTAGTAGTATGTTGTTGATATCTCAAGGCATTCACCCTTTTTAAAAAACAAAAGAAAAAAAGGAAAAGGGAACAGAGTGAAGATAAAGTAGTAAAGGAAGGCAAAATGAGGTTACCACTATCTTTCCCCAAATAAATCATTCGGTTATTACGCCTGTATTTGGGACAACTTTTAGTCTAGATACAACAATAATGACCCTATGACAGCCGTATCTTCTATTCGGGGGAAGACGGCGAATAAAAGAAGACTTAGCAGTCAGTTTGTCCCTGATGACAAAGAGAACATATATGGTAGGGATTAGGCATAATGGTGACAATTAGTGTGTATTTAGACCAACTTTAACTCTAGAGACAGCGATAATGATTGTACATTCTATCTGGACAACATTGAAGACCTAGCTTGCGCATTGTCAGCACAACAGAGTTGTTGTTACGGTAGCTGACATCTTTAAGCATGACCACCAAACACTTCGGGCCCAACAAACGGCATGTCGGTGACCGCCTAAAAGAAAGGAAGAACCGACACCACCGAAGGCCATGCAATTAAAGTCCATGCGCTACAAAATGGACATACTATGTCCGGATGCAGAGGGTGTACACAGTCAGGAAAAGAGGGGCAACCTTTGCAGGCATGGATGCTGAAACCCTGGCATTGAAGTGGTTGTGGCAGAGACAATGACACATACAACCAAGTCTAACAGTGACTGTAGTTGTGCAGAGGAGAAGGTCGTGGAGTGTTGACACGTTGTTCTGCTCTGGCATAAGGACAAAAATGTGATCCTTCAAAAAAAAAAAAAAAAAAAAAAGATAAAAAAAAAAACCCGCAAAAAACGATGTTAAAAAAAAAAAAAAAATAAAAAAAAAAAAAAAAAAAAAAAAGAATCACTGAATCATGTGATCCTCAACATAAAAGACTGTGTGGTATAGGGAAGAAAACATTTATACCAATAAGCCTAGCTCAATTGATACACTCGTGAACTTTTGAAATACAGACCTGAGTTCAAACTTCATTGAAGTACTGCAATTCTACCCAAGAGCCTGGCTCGGTGGGTACACTCATAAACTGTTGAAATACAGACCCGAGTTCAAATCCAAATGACGGACCTTGACGAGTAAAACCAAATATTTCTAAATTGTCAGGGGCCGGTCAACTGAACGATAATATCTCAAGGCCGTCCCCCTTTACACACAAAAAAAAACAAAAACAAACAAACAAACAAACAAACAAACAAACAACCTACAATTCTGAACTATCTAGGGTCGGTCAAATGGATAATGATATCTTAAAACGGAAAAATTAAAAAAAAGGAAAGAAAACATCATCTTTGCAAAGGAAATTACCAAGTTGAACATCAATCGTGGCTTGGACCATGTTGCCACTATCCCATAGCTCCCAGTGGTCATCTACATAGCCAATGGCCATGTCAAGACCAGGTCCATGTACAATGCAGACAAAGATGTGGGACGCATGATGACACCACTCACCGAGCCAAGCATGGCACAATTTGCAATTGCATTCCCTCATTCATTGCTACGTGTAAGCCCTTAATTGTAAAGCCTCCTTCCTTTAAAAAATAAAATAAGAAAACACCCTGTGAAGACCTGTGTTCCCGTGGTGGTAAAGAGTATCAGCGGGACCGCCTCCTTCCCTTGTTTAGTTACTACCATGTTGTCGATGACCCATAGCTCCCAAAGGTCACAGGCATGGCCAACAATTATGTCATGGCTGAGTCCATGGACACTATCCATGATGGAGGACGAAACCACTCACAGGGCCAAGCATGGCGTAACTCGCACCGACATTCCCTCATTGCCACTTGTAGGACCTCGATTGTAAAGCCTCCCCTTCCCTGGTTTAGCTCCTACCCTCTGTCTTCAGGCCAGATGCACCGTATCGCCACTCATCCCGAGACTTTGCACCTAGTCGACGCATCGTAGTATTATAGCTAATTTAGATGATGAAATCAAGTTAAAGAGTCAACTGCTAGAAAACCTGATTCCGTATAAGATGGGCGACAAAGACGTTGCTGACAAGAATTAGTAGCAGCCATAGGCGCACTGTATCATCACTCATCCAAAAGGCAGCAACCTGATTCTTGTTTTTACTTTGATTCTCTCCTTCCCTGCACAACAAATTGTTGTTGTTTCATTGAAGTCCAAAAGGTAATATCTGTTATTTTATCCCCTGCAGACAGTCCAGCTTCCAGCAACACAGTCATGAAACTGTGTCTCATGGTCTATAGCATTGGAGCTATAGACTCACGAGTCCCCTACAAAACAAAAAACAGTTCCCATTCGTCGGGAAATTCCTACTCAGAATGCAACCCCGAGTAAATTCCTGATTGGAACATCATTTTCATGAACGCACAAGCGAGCAGACACGCACACATGCACTGTTGGAGAGAGCTGACGAGAAGTGCACACCACAGACCAAGCACGTGGTGAAAATCTAGCCATGTAGTAGATCGATCGCAAACCATAAATCAACAATAAATTCAGCAAACAGAGATCGCAAATCGAACACGGGAAGCAAAACAACGATCGATTTGTGATGCCGGTGGTACAACACTGCCAAAAAGACAAACTCTCTCCACAAAAAACAGGCAACATGTATTTGTTATGATTATGTTTGCCTGTTGTCTGAAGACCAACACCCACTCACATAGACTTCCAAGTATGCTCATACATACATAGAAAGAAGGGGAGAGGATAGGAGTATCACACCGCACATGGAGAGAAAAACACAGCGGAAGAATTAACCATGCGATATGGCAGGGTACACTGAAAGCGCAATTCACTCCACTCAATCCTCACAACCAGTCATAAAGGAAAGCCGAGTAGATCACATCCAAGAAACAATGGAACGATGATAGTCTGAACCTGTTATCAACACTATTTATTAAACTCAAAGTCTCAAATTGTCAGAATAACTTCATAACTACAGTGCGCTGCTAAGAAACGAGCAGCGCTTCACTCCCCAACCCTGAGTAACCACTCGTAACACCCCTGAGTCCCTGAAACATCAAGCGCCACCCAATTACTGCCTCCAGAGGACAGCGTTACCTTGAAACAAGCCTTTGAGGCCAAAAGCCACACAGAGGATGAAGAAGAAGACCAGAGCCACAGTATCTTATGATGACGAAGTGTCGGAAGACTTCTCAAGTGGAAGTCTGCAGCAGCGCCACCACTCCTGACAAGATGACCTCTGAGGAAGAAGCTGCAGCTATGACTATAACACCACAACCCTGTAACCCCACTACAGAGGAGGGTCCAGTAGGGCACCAACTCCTCTCGCCTCCAGCAGACCTCGAATAGCCCAGACCTCTGTACAACCCCGCGTGCTGACATAGTACAGTGCAGGTCCCAACTATGGATGGTGCTCTGAAGGTCTGGCTATGTCTGTCTCCCTCAACGCTGAGCCGTCACCACTTCCAGTTCACGCGTTGCACAACAGCGATGTACACGGTGTCGACCGGTAGAAAGAATCCACCGGCACGCCGACCAGACTCTATGCCACGCGCCGTGTCTGTCACCCATAGGAGGGTCGATTGGGGCTCCTGTAACCTGCAATAAAAACAGTTAGTCCACATCCACACAAATAGAGACTGAAACCGACTTTTGGACGTAACCACGAGTCTCTCACATCCCTCCGTCTGGAAGAAATAAAAAGATTGTTTTCATTTAGTCCAAAATAATAGGATTCATAGCGCTATTTC